CCATACGTGTCATTGGACATTGCAAGGTTCTCCACTAGTTCCATTGCCGCGTTGATCTCTTTCCCAAGAAAATTGCCGTTGGAGGCTGTATCAAGTTGATTCCGGATCTTGGGGAGGGCACCTCGGTATAAAGTACTCAGGAGGGAGGCCTCCGAGAAGCCGTGGTGTGGGCATTGGTTGGTATAGCTTCTAAACCGTTCCCAAGCTTCACTAAAGCTCTCGTTTGTGTGTTGATTGAAGCTGGAGATCTGATTTCTCAGCTTGGCCGTGCGTGAAGTGGAGAAGAACTTGGATAAGAACGCCAGCTAGCATTGCTCCCACGTTTGTATAGAACCCCTCGGGAGGTTATTTTCCCACTGGTGAGCTTTATCAATGAGGCTAAATGGGAACAGGCGTAGCTTGAAACTATCTTCTGATACCCCGTTTATCTTTGTCAGGTCGCAAACTCGATCAAATTGATCTAGATGCTCTAGAGGATCCTTTCCGGGTAGACCGTGAAACTTGGTGTTCTGCACCATATTGAGCAGGGAGGCTTTACCTTCGAAGTTGTTGTTTTGCACATGTGGTGCCTAAACCCCGGCTCTATATTGGTGCGCGTTTGCTCGGTCATTTTCTCCAACAAAGATTGGAGGAGGTTGTCTCTGAGCAGGTGGTGGAGGCGGAGGAACATGATGGGCTTGCTGCTCATTTCTGTTAGCTTGATGTTGATTCTGTTGAGCAAGCCGTTCATTTCTTTGAGCCTGTTGTTGGTTAATGTAGGCCTGTTGCTCATTCCTCTCGGCCTGTGCTTGATTAGCCTGAGCCTGGTGCTCGGCATCTTGAGCCTGATGCTCGATCCTATGCTGTTCTGCCATTCCAAGCCGTTCAAAGTGCTTTTCTCTCTCGCGTGCTCGCCTTTCGATTTGGTTGATGTTGTTATCGTAAGGGAGAGGCGGTTCTGTGCTGCGAGTCCTGGTTTTCATGCACCTGAAAGCAATGCCAGAACTTGTAAAAGAGTTAGTAAAACAAAAGAAAGTAAAGTCTTGATCTCAAGAACAAATAAGAGACTAATGCTCCCACAAGTCGGCAACGGCGCCAATTGATAACTAAGAGTTTTCAGACTCTTTGTAGAGGTTATCAATCCCCTGTCTTTTAGTACAAGGGGTTATCAAACCAAACTTCCGTATGAGGCACTAGTCTATGTAACTTGTAATCTTAAGTCAAGATGATCAAGCAAGAGTTTTTGGTATATAATCTACTTAACAAGCAAATAAGCATGAAAATGAAGCAAGTAATGGTATTTAAACTAGATGAAGATGCAAATGAGAACTAGTAAATGAGCAAATATTCGGATGATGATAATAGATGATAAAGGCACAAGCTTTAGACAGGATAAAGAACTTCGGGTGTCTCCAAGCTAAAATAGCGAGTTAATGAATCCATATTAACAAACATCGTCATTTAACATGAACTCAAAATATGATAATCCTCTCATGAAGGTATTAAACATCTTAAGTGATCCTTTTTCATATCAAAATCCCTTTTGAGAAGCATGAATTAGTCAGCTTTAAAATCCAGTTCAATAATTCGTTTAAGAGAACAAACTATCACTCTCGCGATGAAAGACTCTTAAACCCTTAGCCGATTGGTTCAGACATTTCCTCAAACACTTTTGATGCAAAGAAAGTCTCAGATCTGAACCGCAAGTGATGTGCTTGGATCCAGCTTAGAGTGCAAGATCGGCTAAGGAATGAAACATGCAAGCTAGACCCCTAAACTCAGTAATCTAACTTGGAAACACCCTAATCTACCTATCTAACACCTCTTAAATGGACTACTCACTGATCATAACAAGCTCACTAAGTCCTTTGCAAGACGTGTAGCTGGTCATGATTAGAAGTTTTATGCTGGTGAATAAAAGAAATAAACAAGAACAAGATTTCTTACGTGAAAACGAGATATCGGATTAGATTAATCAAGTTTCACAAAAGAGGCAAGTTCTTAAAGCTAAAACAGGCAGGAAATAAGAAAAGATAAAAGATGATTAGGTTTCTGGTCCTAAAATCTATTTATAGTGAAGGGTAAGTGTCGCGGGTCAGCCCGGAACAAACCGGGTACTGAACGCTCTTCTTGGGTCGTCGGGTGAGCACCACGGTGTGTGAGAGAGTGAAGCCGAGGCCTTGATGCCAAGGGGTGCACGTGAGCAAAGATCAAGGTGAAGATCCTATGAAGAACACGTCAAGAACATGCATAAACCCTAGTCTTCAATCCATCTTCACGTGCAGCCTCCGAGTCAACTTGTTCTTGAATCTGGGTTCGTGACAAGAGACCTCGGCATACAATGCCGAGGGGCTTGGTAGTCGAGGGGTTCAGGAAGATGGAGTCCGGCTTGCAATGCCGAGGTCTTTAAGTCGAGGTTCATGTTCAACACTTAGTAATTTTCAGCTTCACTTCTCTTGCATGCATGCCTCGATCTTGATATACCGAGGAGTTAGTATGAGGTCTAGTCCAAAGAGCTTCCAAGGGATGAGCCTTGGCCTAAGCAATGTCGAGGTAATGATGCCGAGGTCCGTAGAAACACTTAGCGCATATCGCAACTCTTTTGGGTTCGTATCCACCAACTCGTCTTCCGGAAGCAATAACTTTCAGCACACGACTCCAAATGCTTTGAAACAAGTTTCATAATCAAGATAACTCATTCATCTCAAACTTTGGTGAAGGAACCATCAGAGCTTGGGAAGTGGAAGGCTCCCCGGATTGCTCATCTTTTCACTGCATTGGAATGAACGGAAAAATCAGCTTTTAGACCGATGTCTATTCCGGAGACGATATCTTCCAAAAATCCGCTCCAAATTGAGCGATCTCAAGTGTTCCGGAAAGAGAATTCAGAGGCCTCAAATATTGATAAAGGCCCTGTAAGTTGATTCTAGCTGGAAGGGCATCGTCGTAATCTTCGAAATTCATCGGATCAGCTCTTGAGTGCATGCGAGACGGGCGTGTCTTCCGGTGGCGATATCTCTCTACTCACTGGTCAGAATTACGTGATTCCGAATGTTCTGGGATCTTGGCTTGATTATCTCTTACTTTGATGAAGACTCCGTCAACTGATTCGGACTGGAAGATTCCCCGGATTTGAGATCTTTGAGGCGCGCAGGTGAAAATGGACTTTAGCCGATAAATGCTTCCCGCGGTAAGGAATATGTCCGAGAAACATGTACCGCAGTAAGCTTTTTAGCCGATAAAAACTTCTCGCCTCGGCATAAAATTTCACCGATAATGACTTTTAGTCGGTAAAGGACACCCGATAGCGATTTTGGCCGATGTTCTGATCCAGTCGGTACGAGTTTTCGCCGAGAAATTCCTCCAAGCGGTTTTCACAATTTTTGACCCTCTTCTTCACCGTTTCCACTTCTTATCCTCCTCTTGAGCTCCAAACATTCTCCAAAGCACCTGATAAAGACTTCAAAGCATGGAAAACTCTTTGGGACCTGATGCAAATCCTAAAGCTTACTTTGAAGCCTAAAGACCCAAAATGAATGAGAAAAACCACACGATTTGGACTCTAAAGTGCAGTTTAAATGATGCAAAATATAGACATATCAGCAACAAGCTTACTGAAGCTCCCAAATCACACAAACAACTAGCAAACTTCAAAGGACCTAGTGCGCAAGGTAAGGTAAAGCTCCCTCGATCTGATAGCTTTCTTGGGACTGTTCTCCTCTGAATAATAGCTCTGCACTTATGACTAAGAATGACCATTCCTTGTAACTCCTTGGTCTTGTTCAGAATCGTATCTTTTAAGAACTTCCCAAGCTTTGGGATCATAAGAAATGCTTCTATGATGGGCATAGTCATCTGAGTGTTCTCCAAGTGCTTTTCAAATACTGCTCTTGCCTTATCTAGGATCTGTTTCTTGAATATTACTGGAAAAGGAAGCTTAGGATGATAAGGTGGTTGTGGAACATAAGGTTTTTCAGGCACCTTTTCTTGCTCCACCTCTTTGTTCTCATTACCCTTAGCAACTTGATCATCTTTCTCACTCTCTTGGGCCGCCTCCCCACCAACTTTCTCATTTTCCTCAATGAGCACTTGGCTAGACTCTCTTTCTGGTAGCTCTTTCCCACTTCTAAGAGTTATAGCATTGCAATACTCTTTGGGATTAAGCTCGGGTTTACCAGGTAAAGTGCCTTGGTTTCTTGAAGTGGAGGCTTGATTCTGCGTTAGCTCTTTGATCTCCTGTTGCATGGCAGTATATTTTGAACCCAAGTAAGAAAAAGCACTCTCAACTCGCTGCTTACCCTGTAGAATATGTTTCAACACCCCCACATAACTCTGGACCCATCTGTTGACCCTGAACATGCGGCTGCTGAAGGATCGGCTGCTGACTGAAACCTGGCGGGTAGTTTTGCTGCTGAGTCTGAGAGATGAAGTTACCACTCTGAATCGGTTGCTGTTGATGTCCATAGCTCTTCTGCTGCTGAACAAACTCTTGTTTAGGCTGAAAACAACTTTGAAACTGAGCCTTAGGCGCAAAGCTTTGCTGGCTATGCTGAGAAGGATACACTTGATCTTGTGGATTAGCCACATTGGGGTTTCTATATGAGAGGTTCTGCTTTTAGTTGAAGTTTTTGAACCTCTGATATCGGTTTTGGTTCCCAATATAGTTGATCTCTTCCTGTGTGAGGCCATCTTCATTTACATTCTCAAAGCTTGGACCTTGTTCATCAAACTCGCCTACAAAGTGTATAGGCTTTTGTGTTGGCACTAGCACCTTGTCAAGCTTATTCTGAAGCTCTCTTATATCATTTTCCATCCTCAGTTCTTTGCTAGATCTTTCAGTTCTATATGCCCTGTCAAAATCTTCTCCATATGTGTTATTAGACATAGCAAGATTCTCCACTAGCTCCATTGTGGCATTGATCTCCTTCCCCAAAATATTTCCATTCGATGCTGTATCCAGTTGGTTTCTTATCTTGGGGAGCGCTCCTCTGTACAAAGTACTCAATAGAGATGCCTCTGAGAAACCGTGATGAGGACACTGATTAGTATAGTTTCAAAACCGTTCCCAAGCTTCTCCAAAGCTTTCATTTGTGTGCTGAGTGAAATTTGAAATATGGTTTCTGAGCTTTGCGGTCCTTGATGTTGAGAATAACTTGGAGAGAAAGGCGAGCTTGCACTGCTCCCAAGTTTGTATTGTTCCTCTAGGCAGGTTTTTTCCCATTGATGCGCCTTGTCGCCTAAGCTGAAGGGGAATAATCTGAGTTTGAAGCTATCCTCAGATACACCATTTATCTTGGTGAGGTCGCTTACTCTGTTAAACTGATCTAAGTGCTCCAAGGGGTCCTCCATTGACAAGCCGTGGAACTAAGAGGTCTGCACCATATTGAGAAAATAAGCTTTCACTTCGAAGTTGTTGTTTTGAACCGGTGGTGCTTGAATCCCTGCTCGGTACTGGTGTGCATTTACTCTATCATTCTCACCAACAAAGACTTGAGGAGCCTCTTGTCGCCTTGGTGCTTGTGGCTGAGGCTGAGGAATGATTTGAGCCTGTTGCTCATTGCGGTTAGCTTGTTGTTGATTCTGCTGAGCTTGTCTTTCATTCCGCTGAGCCATGTTCTGATTTAGAAAGGCTTGTTGCTCGTTCCTCTCAGCCTGTGCCTGGTTTAAGTGAGCCTGATGCTCGGCTTCTTGAGCCTGTTGCTCAACCCTTGCTTGTTCATCCATACCCAACCGTTCCAAATGTGCAGCCCTCTCTCTAGCTTTTCTTTCAAGCAGGTTAATGTTATTGTTGTAAGGTAGAGGAGGCTCTGAACTTCTGGAGCGTGTTCTCATGCACCTGATCACTCAAAGACAAAGCTTGAGAACTTAAGACAAAAAAAGAAAAACTTGATCTCAAGAACAAGCAAAAACTAATGCTAAATCCCCACAAGTGGGCAACGGCGCCAATTGATAATTAAGGTTTTTAGGCCTTAAGAAGGGTTACCAATCCCTTGTAGTTGTAGTACAAAGTTAGCAAACCATGCTTATGGGTTCTAGACACTAGAATATGAGCAATGTATCTTATGTCAAGCAAGTCAAGTGATATTTTGGTTTTAAACTAATGGCAAGATAAGCACATGAACTAAAAGCAGAATTTCAACAAGATATGGATGCAAGTAAGATAAGCGGTTATGAGATGATATGATGATGCAAAGGCCTTAGACATGATATTGGATCAGGGTGCTTCAACACTAAACTAGCAAGCTAATGAACAAATAATCAAGCAAATCCATTTAACATAAACTCATTAAGCAAGATAATCCTCTCATGAAGCCATTAAACTTCTATGTTAATCCTCTTTCATACTGAATTCCCATTTGAGAAGCATGAATCAGCAAGCATTAATAATCAGTTTAATAAGTCATTCAAGAGAACAAACTATCATTATCATGATGTAAGACTCTTAAACCTCTAACAAACTTGGTTCAGGTATTTCAACTAACACTTTGGTGCATGAAAGTACCTTAGATCCAGACCACAAGTGATGTGCAAGGATCTAGCTTAGACATCGGTTTGTTAGAGAATGGATGATTCACGATCTAGCCCCTAAACTCGCTAATCTAATATTTCAGCACCCTAATCTACCTACATAAGACCTTATAATGAAACCACTCACTAATCATGGATAGAACACTTGATCTTTTGCAAGAAGTGATGCTAAACATGATGAGAAGTTTCATCTGATGAAAAGAAAATGAAAAGAAGAAGACTTTAATGATGCAAAACGAGATATGTGATTAAAGCAGCAAGTTTTACAAAAAAGAGGCAAGTTCTCTAAGAGAATAAAAGATAAGATAAAGGATAAGTAGGGTTATAGTCCCTTAAACTATTTATAGTGCAGCTAAGTGATGCGTGTCAGCCTGGAACAAATTGGGTACTGAACCGATCTTCTTAGGCAGATGGGTGAGCTCCTTGGTATGTGATGAGGTCATCGAACCAGAATCAGACCAAACGCTTGTTCCCGAGCTCAAAGAAGCACTAATGACTCGTTCCAAGGCAAGGAGGCTGAGGGAAGGTTTCAACTTGGCCGTAAAAGCCTTACTAAGCACCATGGAGCTTGGAGATGCATTCACAACTGGTTCACAAGAGCTCAACACGCGAGACAACACCAAAGCACCCAAACTAGACATAATGGAGGGCTTCGCACGTTTGAGCCTCAAAGAAGACCAGTCTCAAAGAGACTGCCTCAGAGCTTTTAGAAACTACCATTTCAAGACATGAAGCCGATAGCGAGCAAATGGGACAAGAAGAAGGACATGAAGCAGGACACGAGAAGATACTTGAAGAACTCACAGGACACGACGTTAGCAGGACTCTAAACGAAGAAAACATCAAGACTAACGAGCTACATGGACCGGAAGGCGACTTAACCAACTACACAGCAAGCAAGTCCACAACCGGCCTTAATCAAGTATATTCCATTTATACAATCTGTGCAGGCAACATGGAAGTATCCTAGTGGTGTCTAACACGCTAAAGAGCATCAGAGGTCCATGGAACAAGTCCAGAAAAGGTTTCACGTAGTTAGTTTCTTTTCTTTTTATTTTTAAGTAAACTTTCCATTTTTGTGTCCAAATGAGATGCTTTGCCATTTTTGCTTTATTTCTTTTACAAGTCCTGTTGTTTTGAGTCTTTAGTTTCGTTTTTCTTGTTAAGTGTCGAACCCTAGAAGGTTCAAAGCTGACGGACTATTTATAAAGTCCCACGCGCAGCTGTTGTACTCACCTTTTTACCTTATCAATAAAATAACGCCGTTTTCCTCTTAGCTTGGGCCTGAGAGACTTTGCTTGTGTTTTTGCGTGTGTGATTAACCGAGGGGCAGGTTTGCAGTATCAGAGATCCTCACATCATCTCTGTGGTGCCTTCGATCCACTCCACAACCATTCACTGATCCCTGAAGAGAGAGCGTTAAAGCCAGCTTGACAGATCCCATCTCGATTCAAGCCTTGTGAAAGCAAGTCTTGTCTTACCATCTCCATCCACTGATCCACATGAGAGAGCGTGATAGCCAGCGTGTAGATCCCACCAAGCCATTGATTTTGCAATATTATAAGCCCCACCCGAGTCTTATATCAGTATGTGAAAGTCCAATAAAGAACTCACCAAGAACACACATGAACCCTAGTCTTTGATCTATGTTCACAAGCAATCTCTGAAGCTCATCGGATCGGCTTAAAATATGATGAAGACCCCGACAACTGAATCTGACTGGAAATGCATCGTTCCACGCAATCTCGGATCGGCTTAAAATGGAAGCGAGACAGGTGTGTCTCCTGATGGTCGTAACTCTCTGCTCACTGGTCCGAATTCGGTAATTCCAACTGTTCTGGAACCTTGACTCAATCCTCTTCAATTTTGATGAAGACCCCGACAACTGGATCGGACTGGAAGCTTCCCCAGACAGTCAATCTTTGGCGAGTGTTATGTACCGCGGTAAGGAAAAAAGTCGAGAATCACATCCCACAGTAAGCTTATTAGCCGATAAATCTCACCTGTCTCGGCATAAAACTTCACCCGATAAGCCTTCACTCAATACACGGTTTGGCCGAGAAGAATCTACCCAATAGCATTTTAGCCGATAAAACTTCTCCCGCTTTTGGCCGAGAAAAACTTGCCGGGCAGGACTTTTAGCCGAGAAACCGATCCATCCGGTACAAGATTCTGCCGATAAACTCCTTTAGGCTATTTTCACCATTTCTGACCCATTTTTCCACCGTTTCACTTCTGATCACATCTCTTCTGCTCCAAACAGCCTCAAAAGTACCTGATCATGACTCCAAACGATGCCAAGACTCATTGGGACCTGATGCGACCCCTAAGGTCTAAAACAGTTCTTAAGGACCTAAAATGCATGAGATAAGACATGATTTGGACCAAAAAATGCAAGCTAAATGATGCAAATTATGAACATATCAGTTGGTAATTCTATGATTCAGTGCAAACAAGATTACTCATAAAACTTTTGCCATAATCATCATAAAGTGAATCAAGCATCAGCTTTTACAAGCAGCTTTAGTTCCAACCTTTTGACATTCATTAAAGTGCAATGTGGATCATGCTCATGCAAATCATGTGATTTCATTTGGCTAAGAGATTAGGTTATGAGACAAAGATGATCTCATTCAATGCTTGTGGGTTCAATGCAGCTCAAGGGATCACTCAAGAAGGAATAAACTTTAACAGAAGGCTAAGAGTAAAAGGCAATTGATGCATACAAGAGTAGAATCCCATCTACCCAATGCCCCAAGTTTGTCTTTCACCTTAACTCTAACCCATCAAGAACACACTAAGATACCCTTCCTTCAAGGCATTCATTGCCTTCTCAACCCACTTTTCACTTTACTCTCAATCTTTTCCTCACCAAGGGATTCATCTTTTCATTCTCAAACTCAGGCTTTGGGGTCTAAACCTTTCACTTAGCTCCTTCTCACATAACATTGTCTAAAATTGTAAAATGTGAGTATATCACCTTTCTTGGTGAAATGTATTCTCTCGGGAAAACTGCATTTTCTCGGCTAAACAAGATTCTCTCTCGATAAAACGGAACATCTTCTCAGCCAACTGCACCCTTTCAGGGTATGAACTGCTCTTTCTCGGCTAAAACGAGTTCTTCTTGACTAGAACCATTCCTCGGAAAATATCTCGTAACTTTCCTAACCGTTTTACATTCTGTTTTGACCAAAATCCTTAATTTGGTATTTTCTTGCTGTTCAAACAATTCCTTCTTCCAAACTTGGATTTTGAATTTTCCGACCCAATGGCCCATGCTCTTCTTACAATTGGGTTGTTATATTCTCCCCCACTTATAGGAATTTGTCCTTGAATTCCTGACGTGTGATCGTGCCTGATCCTCCTTGATGTTAGAGTCTTTCCATAAGGTTTAGCGGTCCTCCGACCCCTCACCACTGTCTTGATATCACCATGTCTTCTCAGAACTTGGTCATCTCCTTGACCCTTCACAAAGTTTGGTTATAATATTGTTCCATTGCCACGGTTTCGGGTCTCAGTAATTTCTCATTTATCTCACAAGCTTGGCGATCTCCCTGATCCATTGCTTTCTTGTCATCACACCTTTCACTTTGATACATC